CCCGCAGATCGTCAGTGCTCAAAAGTAACGAATTCTGACCTATATCTCAAAACAAGGCCTGTAGCTATCACAGAGTGGGAGCTGACAACACCCTCCCCAGAGAGAGAATTCGACTTCTTGGGGTCCAACGTTTTGCCACCCAACAAGTTTTTTCTTCGGCCTTGCGGTTCAGGGTTTGCCATGCAATGTTCTGGTCCAAAAAGTCTAGAGTTGACCCGAATTTTCGGGTTTAGTTTCTTTTACGACCGTTTCGGGTTCAATCTTTGCCATGCATGGTTTTGAGGCTTAGTTTTTTTTGTCCAGTTTTTGCGGTTTGTATCCGATTTTTGGGGTTTAGGTACCCAACATTTTATTTTGGGATCTAAGGTCTGGTTTTGTTTTTTTTGAAATCTTTTTATCGTTGGCAACCCGACATTGTCTTTTAGGATTTTCGACAATCAGTTTTTCGATTGCCACCGAACGTTTGCTTGTGTTTGAAGCCGTTTACAGTTTAGGGTTTGGCACCCCTATACTGTCGCAAACCAGGCTCTAAACCCTGAAAGACGATGTCGGGTGGCACACACCAAATCATATAAAAATGTGTTGGGTGGCAAACCCTCGAGGCATGGGTGGCAGGCTCAAAAGCACCAAAAGGGTGTTTTAAGCAAGCAAGGTGTTTGTTGACCTTGGAGGGATGAGGCTGTTTTCACGCCCACAAAAAACGTACAACCTAACAAGTTATGTCAGCAAAACCGTGTCATGTTTCAAGTCAGCAAAAAAACAGTGACAACTACCCGTTTTTCCTGCAGCTGTATTCGGGTCACACTTGGTGTTGCGTGACCGTTCTTGGTTGGGAAGTTTAAGATTTATTAAGATTCATGTTTCTGAACTGTTGCCCATACTTTATGTACCATGTTGATGACGTTACTTACGTGAACACCAAAGGTAAGGACAGGTGCCCGTGCATATGGCCTATCTGAAAGCATGATAGCTGGGTGAGCTGTCGTTTGTTTGGCCTTCGAGACCATGGTGCATGCCCGTGATATCGTCACAGGCAGCGGTTGATTGTTCAGCATGTGCATAGATATATATATATATATATAACATGTTTTGGTCAGTGGGTGTAGTTTTCTAGCAAGGTTTGATATTCTTTGTTTGGATACAAACCGTGGGGCGCAGGTGAATCTCCCCTACCCACGGAGGATGACCTGGACTTGCATCGAAATGATCTTCTGCAGGCTGATGTCATTGTGTTGAATGGATGGTCATGTTAGTGTTCCCAGTTGAAGGGCCACTCACTAGCCGGCTTGATGATTTGTTGAATTCGCCTTTTGAAGCCTGGACAGTTTCTTGCAGGGAACATGGCAAGCAGATGGTACACTTTGGCAGATGGCAGGACGATGCTGGAACGTTGCTTGAGGGTTGTTCAACTTAATTTGCGTTTTGCACGTAATGCTGCGCATTGGAGCCGGATGAATCGAACAACGGAGATCGCAAAAAAGGTTGCCAAAGACCTGGAAGTTGATCCAAATTTGCAATTTCGGTGCCGCTTCATGCTGTTGTTCCTCTTCGGCATCCTCGGCCATCAGCATCCGCTGCGGCCACTGTCCCTTGTCTGAGTGGTAATGCCCAGGTGATGTCCAAAATGGAAGCGTGCAGCGAGGCTCCCTGAGCGCAGCTGCGAGGAGTGGGCTGTCCTATCCATGCCGGACAGGCCCTGTGTTGATACGAAAGCTTGGGATTCAGGCGCCGATCGGCTCTGTCGTAAATTGTCAAGGGCCAGACGGTGTGAAGTTGAAGCACTTGTGTGTGTGTGTGTGCGAAAATTGCATCTTCCAAAGCTTGCTGAAGCCCGAAACCGAAACTGCAGGCAACCGTGGGCCAGCGAGCGTGTCAGTGTGTGTGTGTGTGTGGTTGTAAACGTGCTGAGCTTTTTTGTCATGACAGAAGCTCTCCGTCTGATGTTGGCAAGCAAATCGAGCTAATTAGGTAATGCTTGAGATGGTTTCGTCAAAGCCAAATCGTGTGGTGCCTTGGGACTTTAGATTCTCAAGCTTGTTACGCCGCAACCCCACTCTCTCAGTGAGGGTGTTGCGCACCCTTGATCTGGAGATGATGCAGCGCTTCTACCGTCCCGGCCAAGAATCTGGGCAAGCATGGCTGCGAACTCTTGAAAGGCAACACGTGTTAAAACTTACGTGAGTGGAACTGCTACGGCAATCGCAGCCATCAACTTCCATCTTCACTGGATGTAACTGCAGATTTCTTGCCGTATCGATTCCTGAGGAGTACGAGCTCGGCATTCCTCGAGGCAGAGAAGTGTGGATTGTCGGAGCATTTTCCTCTGGACCAGAAGAGCTCGGGCAGATCTTACGATGGACGCCGTCAAGAATTCATATGTTCGAGCCTATCGTAGAGTGCCTTGCATGATGTGTCTAAGTGTCTTGTCCATTCCGGGTCATAGTTTTATCATATCGTTTATGGGTTGCCTCCATCGAGGTTCTTCGAGAAGTTGAAGTTGCAATGGCGTGGTCACGAGCATGGACAGTTGGTGCATCTACACAACTACGGTCTTGGGGAAGCACGAGAGCGTGGCGAGATGTTCATGGCCTCTGTGGGAAGCTCTCTTTTCCAGCCCATGGAGTTCTCGGCGACTCGCTTGTTCTTGGACTCTGTGAGCGATTTTAAACACGGGAGGCTCCGCGAGCATCGCACCCACGTCCGCGTGGAGGCTGTCGAGCTGGTCTGGAGAATCCTTTCCACGGAATCCCTCGGCCTCCTCCACATGTCCCTCGATGGTCTTAACTTTTCTTGTGGTTCTTTTGACTTTGCAGGGGAGCTGTGTGAAAATTCCGCGAGGAATTGCGAGGGCTGTGAGTACGAAGTAATTCCACAGCTGGCGGTGGCAGGGCTCCTGCACAAGATTCAGGCGGAAAATTGGGCGCTGAGTCGTTTAAGGCCACAGAAGCTTTGCTTGCAGTCTCTGCCCGCAGGTCATCTTCGTAGCATCGCATCTTGTGCTCAATGATACAGAAGCTGCTGAGCTCTGCGATGCTGCATCTTCGGGCACCTGCTCGTGCCTGGGCTGGTGACGCCAGATCAGATGTATGTCAGCCTGAACTGGGACCCTGCTCCAAGCTGCCCTGTGTGTGTTGGCTTTTTCGGTGAAGGGGTGAAGGTGCTCTCTGCCGGACTCCCTCTCTCTGTTCGGATCTGCTGAAGGTACGATGCTGCCATGGTTGGGGGTCAGCGTTTCTGTGACAGCTTTGAGGAGGCGACGAGACGGCAGACTCCGTGCGTTGTGCCAAGTGAGAGTTGTGTGTCTGTTGCAGTCTGGGCGAGTGCTTCAGTTCGTCTCCAGGGCAAGCTTTGAGCACACTCCTCCGCAGCTACTAGCAACGACTCCCTGCCATCTGAGGTTCTGGCAGAAACCCATGCACGAGTTTGGGGGCTGCCGTTTTCTTGGCAATACTGGGAGCTCAAAGCAATGGAAAAGACCCCCATTTGTTAGCTCCGCAGCGTGTCCGCTTTGTTTGTGGCCTGCTGGAGTCTGAAGTTGAGACCGACTTAGTCTGCTGTCTCGCGACCACATGTTTCGGTAGGATCGTTTTGTCCGTGGTGCAAGCCATGAACTGATATTGGCTGGACGAGGCGGTGCTTGAAACGGTAGTGATGGTGGAAGTTACATCACTGTTTACGTAGAGGGCAGCGTTGTTCGAGCCTTCCTGGCATCAAAGGTCAGGAGTCACGATAGTGCAGCGAAGCCAGATACTAGTCTCGGCCTTGAACACTCGAATCACGGCATGGGCCATTGCCATGGGTGATGCTGGAGTCTGCCACGAGGCTTTGAAGGGACCTGGAGCTCTAATCTGACAACACACAGAGCCCAAGTGATTTCACTATGCTTCGCTTATTTTCCTCGCAATCTTCCGGTTTTCTTCTCGTGGGAGGCCGAGGAGGCTGTGCAGCCTGCTCTTCTGGTGTCTGGCCGCATCTGAGACCTTGGAGCTGCGGTCGGGGACCTCAGTGATTGCTCAAATGCAAGGGGCCACGGCTGTGGAGCTTTGGTGGGGGCAGCCAAGGGATGTTGGGAAGTTTCTGGATCCGGTATTTGTGCCGGACTTCTTTCTCGATGCTGCTCCAGCCGCAGAGGCTGCCGCCTTCGGAGGAGAGCCTCTGTTGTCAAGTCTCTAACACTCTGAGACTCCTGCCGAGGTGTTCGGGGCCCTCACAGACGATCCACCGTTGGGACAAGGCTACGTGGCCTCAGTGCTGGACTCACTGTCTCCCGGCCTTGGTTCATTTTGCAGGTCCCGTCTTGTGCTAATCTACTGCAAAGGTGAGTCTTGTTTCCGACAATTTGCAGTTGCCTTGCATTTGCGCATGGCGGAATTCGTCAAACTTGCTTCGTCTGCTCTACAGTGAGTAGTTTGGATTCTCCGATTTCGGAAGTCCTCGCCTTTGCGCCTATCATTATTTTTTGACTGGCATTCCGAACGTGTCAGTTTCCGGGAACTTGGTGAAGGGGCACTTGTTCCGACAAAACAGCAAAAGGAGTAGGTTCTTGTCGGTTTGGTGAGGCAGCTCCCTCCGCGGATGGCCCCAGTTCTCCTTTGGGAGACCGGCCTCTTCTTGCAGCATTTGGCTTCGGAGGAGGTCTCACAGGCCGGCGCCCTGAGCCTGGTCTACCTCCCAATGTTCGGATAAGGAAGTGCTCCTGTGTGTTTAGGTGATAGAAGACCCTGGCCAGATCGAAGCCCACTGCACTATGATCAACCTTAGAAACCACAAGGACAACTACGGAAACATCACGACGATTGCAGTACCGGCCATCATACCATAGAAACGATGGGGACAAGAACAACAGCAGCAAGAAGGCTAACGATGAGAATAACAGCAGAAACGCCCGGAACAGTAGTTTCAGCAAAAGCAACCGCCGTACTAATGGCCACAGCAGCAAAAGCCATAGTAGTAATTGTTATAGCAATGGTCAAGGCACCAGTCATACTTCATGATGCTAAGCATGGCACTCACCAACAACAAAGAAGGGACATCTAAACGTCAAGACAGACGGAGCAGGAAGTTTGGTCATATAGAGTCTGAGACGTGCAAACCATCCTATCCGTTATGGATCTTACAGTGTCAGAGCACTGTCTAGGACTGTTTGCAGCATTTTCCGGTTGTAATGCCTTGAGTCTTGTCCTGGTGCGGTGAACTTGGGCCCTCTGTCACGTTATAGAATCCCCATGTCGCATCAAGAAATCTCGTTGCCCGCTGCCCTGAGGTGATCGTGGATGTTGGTGCGCACGAGTGGAGCCGCTTTCTTCCAAGGCTGCGGGAAGATCCTAAAGCCTGGTTGATCCTTCTGGAGCCGGGTCGAAAAGCAGCTTGGCAAGCGATGCGGATGCCTGCATGCCGCCTGCACGAACCAAAATTCAAGTTTATGTGCCCTTGCCAGGCATTCTTGATGCTTTATCGACGCCTGAAGGCCTTGTGATTCGGAGATTCGTGTGTCCATAGTGCTGCAAAGCTGGCGTTTGCGAAGCCTGAGTCGAGAGTCGGCCCATGCCGTCAGACAGCTTTTTCTCGACCCAGCTAAACAGATGGACTATGCCGATGTGATCGACCGGGTAGTGGCACTTCCAGTAGCGCTGACGTGGGAACCAGGCTGGGTTTTGAGAAGTTGTTTGAGCCACTGAGAGCTGGGCAAAGAGGAGATCATCTGCCAGGCCGCCTCTGGGGGTTTCGTGTGCTTCACACCAGCGTCGTCATGGATGGAGAATGCCACTACGACTGTAGATCTCTCTTGTTAGATGTGCGGTCCGTTTCTCTCGGGCTGCAATGCAAAACTGACCTGAGGCAACAGCCTACTGGAGCCGAATGACCAGTTCCCGGCTCCCTGCATTGACAGAGGTCCAGAAGAGATTGTGCCCGCCGCCGGTCCGCACCCCACTTTTTCATCCGATGACTGCGGGAAAAGCCAAGAGTCACGCTTCAGAAGCCAAGCATCAGGTATTGAGCAGTTGATAATGGACGCTGCAGAGACCAGACATCTTGGCCACACTGCGCAACGCGCAAGGTAATGTCATTGGACGTCCTACTGGAGCTGCTGATTCACGATGCTTCCCTCACCAAGGCTCTGTGTGGCCTGTTCCCTGGTTCAGGTGTAAGACATTTGTAGCCGAATATGCGTTCAGTCAGGGCCACAGCGTCTTGAATGCGACACAGCAAGACCATGTGGCCACATCTCACAATGAAGGACTACTGGGTCTGCTGTGTGCTTGCAAGGAAACGCTTACTTGACGGGCCTTGGCTCCCCAGGACCTCCCATCAGAATCAAGCTGGATGCACAAGGTGCAGACTTCGGCATCTTCTCGGTCTTGGAGTCCAAGCAGGCGCGTTTGCCCCAAGTGGAGCGGCTCCATCACGTCTCACAGTCTGAAGTAAAGCCTGAAGACAAGAGGGTGCCATCATGTCGCCCTCAGCTAGAAGAGTTCATGGGATTTCGAGTGAAAGTCTGCACCTGCATGCCCAATAGCGAGGTATCCAGGTTGGAGGTCGACTAGGAAAAATGCTTCCAAAAGCCATGTTAGCTCAGAGCACGGATTCTCCTGCACCCAGGCACTGCTGAAGCGCGTAGCAGAGGTGCAGCTGGAAGTCTCGGTAGCGAGATTGCACAAAAATGCGCACCTCAGTTCTTTGAAGTGCCGGCTACACACTGCTGCCATCTCAGGATCCAATGTACCATCTGCAGCCCTCCAGGCATGATATCATGGTGGGACCCCATGCAGCATGGTACACAACCTGCAACTCATGTGGAACGAGCATGTGCTGTTGGAACCTCGCAAGGAATGCGTCGCCTTGGATTTCAGCTGGATTGGCAGAAGCAGGAGATTCATGACGGAGGCCAGAGGGTCTGTCATCGGATGCATATCATGTTCCTTGGGCGGCAACCGTGACGGTCTTCACGTGCAGGAGTGCACCAAGTGCGCTGTGGGTGTCGTTTGGTCACCGACAATCCGCGTACCGAAGATTGTTTTTTCGTTCGTGCTGCGCATTGGACTCACGGACGGCGTCTCGGTCTTGTCGAGTGGAATTGAAGCTGAGCAGTTGGGATGATGTGCTTAGCAGTTCGAGTGACAAGCACCCGTCTTGCGGCACGATGTCCTGTTTTCACGCGAAGCTTACGGTTTCGGGGCCTGATTCTCAAGGATGTTGGACCTCTTCCTTCGGCGACCAGATGAATCCGTGCGTTTGAGCGAGGGAACCGGGATGAGCATCTCGCTACAGCAGCTCGACTTGCAGAAGACCCGACCCTTGGCTAAGCAATTTGTTTCGCGAGCCTCTGTGTTGAGCCAGACGATTGTGATCCCGATGGCTTTCGAGAATCCAAGATCAGAATCACCGTCGGCCTTTCAAACGCACAACCTGTCTGGGCAACCCTGACGGAGTCTCAAGTCCACTTGTGGAAAGACAGAGCAACAGACAACTCCGCACGAGTACAGGAAAGATGACATGTTGTCAATGTGGTCTCAGCTGTCTGGCCTTATCAGTCACATCCCATGTGATTAGGGAACCGAACTTGTCAGTTCTCCGGACGACAGGCCAAGGCCCATCCGCCGAACTGAAGAAGTGGACACAGCTTAAACTGCTTCCGTTGAGCCTAGGTATGGCCGCTACATGCAGGACCATATCAATGCGTGCGAGCACGATGCAACTTGGCATGTGATGCAGTTTGTTGTGGGCAGGGTGTTCCTTTTTGTCATCGTGAACAAGCGGCCGAGGCAGGCGCGAGGTTAGAAGAGCAGGATGATGAGATGGGTGCTGGCGGATTGGCCTGCCTCTACCGCCAAAGTCTGAGCCTGCCTTGAAATTCCAGTTCCGCGAAACCTGCTGACCATAATCCTCCAGGCATTGCAGGCTGGCCACTCCGACAAGCGGCACTCTCAACCGCACTGCGACGCGGCTGCAGCTGCCAGATTGCACGTTCGAGCTTCTGCTGCTAGTGGGACACTCACTCGTCACTCAAGGCTGTGGGAGATGATTTGGAATAGCAAGCAGGAAGCGGATCGCGGCACGCTCGTGGTAAACTATGCGCAGGTGAGGGCAGTACAAAGGTATTGCGCGCATGTGGTGAGATACGTCCTCCAAGCATGATGTGTCGTGGAGCTGTGATGTTTGCAGGTGATACTCGCAATGTGGGATCTCCTAGTGTTCGGTGGGCCAGACAATGACTCTGCATGGGACGAGCTTCATGATGCTGGCGTGGCGCACTTGATGTTCACAGCTGCTAGCCTGGGCTTATGTCATGGCCAAAAATCTTTGTAATCTTATTGAGCCTTTGGAGCCTTCGAGGTGCTGGTCGAGGCCAGGGCCTAGCACTGCCTCTGGCGGCTCCGGAGCCGCATACTGTAGTCCTGGCAGGCCAGCTGCCTTCTCTTTCCGGACCTGTGCAGCACGGACTGTGGCTTGGCTCATGGTTTCAGGTGAGTCTGCATCCCTCGCTCCTTATCATCCGGTAACTACTGCTTTGGTGCTCTCGCTGCCCTGCTGGCTTGCACTGCCAGCGGCATGCCGTGCTGAGGCATGGACATTCCGTCCGAAGCTGTAGAAGAACGTCATCCAGGCATGGAGCCAAGGTTTCAAGACTTGTTTCGGGATTTCTGCACCTTGTATCCACGTCCACCTATGGATTTTATGGTTAGGGGCATCCACGGTTGTAGCTCTTGCCTGTCGAGCTGGGCTCGAGCCGAACCTGATGACAGGGCATACGACGCCCTGTGCCTCACTCCGCGATTGTCGCACGATCTTTCACGACGCCAACCCCCAGACTGTGATCAAGACGCCTGGCTCAAAGAAGCTTTCTCGCACCTGGTTTCTGCACTGCGAATGTAGGGGACGGTTGGTTGTACGATGTTTTGCCGGCGTTCCTGGTGCCAAGAAGGAAGATCGCTGCAAAGCAGCTTGGGTGTTGCTGACAGGTCAGCTTGGGTCTCCGTCTCTTGTGACAGTGCACGAAAGGGAAGTGTTGGGGCGAGAGCCTTTAAAGGGCGGGAGCCGTTTGGGTGCGAACCGTATGCAACAAGTTGTGACGGTGCGGACTCGCTGGTGCTTACTGCTGAGCCTCCATACCGAGGCTTCCCGACACATACGTGCTGTTCTGAGCTTCCGATCTCAAGGTCACGGCTGGTCAGACCCGGCACTTATGCGACTTGTTTCGGCTTGAGGTTCCTGTTCTCCGGAGGGCACAGCGCCTTACGCGCCCGCCGTGCTTTCCATCCCGTTGGCGTCTGGAGCTCGATCGTACGTCAACTTTCCCAACCGTTGCAAGCGGCGGCCACAACGTGACTAGACTGTCCTGTTGCATCAATTACATGTGGCTTGGCTCCTCGCGTGCCGCCACGTGCTAATCTGCTGATGCAAGCTGAACCTCTTGTGTGTAGGTGCCTGAACATGTGGCCAGCTGCATCCCAGGTTACTGTGATTGCAGTTGACGCCTCGCACTGCAGCCTGGAAATCTCGATGATAGCATGGGATCTGGATGCTGCCGAAATGCTCTCGTTTCACAGAGATATTTGGGACAGCGCAGAACGAGGTCGGGCAAACATCGACGCAGCCGATTTTCGAATTCCAACGGAAGGCAATCTGTGGGATTTTGATTGCCAGTTCGAGACCCCGTCTGGACTTTTGTGGACACGTGGAGACGTTGTGAGCTACCCCATCCTTAGTGAACTTCCACAAACCCAGGAAGCACCTGTTCTGATCGTTCACTGTGAGGCTCCGGGAGGGAGCAGACTTACATCGCCTCCGTCATCGGTCCTCCTGACGCGATCTGTGCGGTCTATTCCCGACATGCCCTCCATCCAACTCGAGGTGCCGTTGCGGGAGAATCAGCGGAAGAAAGTCAGAACAGCTTTGTGCAATTCACAAGTCTGGGGATCGCACTCTCTGAAACAGCTGGCTCCGGACCTCATAGAGTTCTGGCTGTTATACTACAGCGAGTATTTGGGGATCGATGAAATCTACGTCTATGATTTGGATGGATCTTTCGAGAGCATTCCCCTCGTTCAGGAACTCCGTGCCAGTGGACGTGTGGTTTACGATCCGTTCTTCTCCAGCATACCGCCGTTGAAGGATATTTTTGCTGTGGCCGGGCACAAGACTTCGACGGCACACTTGGCGCAGACCCTTGTGCAGCACCACTGTTGGCAGCATGCCAGGCAGACCGCTGACTGGGTCATCCTCTCAGCAGCAATCCCTTTCCAGGCAACACCGCAGACATTTGCATGGGCATTTTCTATGAGTTGAAGTTAAGGTCATCTCGCTCAATCATGGCTGGGACATGTTCCTATATTCTCCGGCTGGGAGCACCCTTCAGGACCTCCTGGAGGACTGGTTGTGATACCGTGTAATGGTTGTGTAAATGCGAGAGCAGTTGCATGTTGTGTGCTCACCAGGAACTGCCACCGGACCAGGTGACTCGTGTGCTCGGCGTACGATATGGGGAGCACGATTCTGTCGATTCTGATGCCCAGGTGGGAGTTGACAGAAAAAGCTGCTGACTCGCGAGTCCTGAAGACGCGACATCGAATTTAATAATTTCATTGAGTGCATCACTGTCTTGCATGATTCTCACAAGAGTACCGTCAGCAGAAGCACCGACTGTTGCCGACCGGTGTTGTTTACTGTCCTGTTGCGGTGCGGATAGGTCACGCCGAATGTGAATGTGTCCCCAGCTTGGATTTTGCTTTTCGCACAATTTTTTGGTGAATCTCAGCTAAAACACGCACACACAGACACACTGAGGTTCCTGCGCTTTCCGTACCATATAGACCCTGGCGTGCGACCAGAGAAGAACAGCACCGAGGAGCTGGTAATTATCGCTAGACCCTCTCTGATTGCAAATGTTGCACTCAGCGCTGTCGTGGTCCGACAAGAGGCCCCGCTTCGTTCGAACTTGCTGGAACACCCGCTGCCGTGTCCGAAAGGGCAGTCGCGAGAGTTTGCCGGGCCGATGATGCACAAGGCCCGGCAGCTGGATGCAGAGAAGTGGCGCGCCAATCACTACGTACAAGCTCTGGGTGGTCGCAAAGTGCTCTATCGTTCAGAGGACTGTGTTTTCTGTGCAAAGCTTTGACTCCCTCTCATATAGACTGCGCATGCGACATCGACTTGTGTAGGCCACGAGGGCTTTCGTAGATCTGTTGCACAACTTCCTTCCACCGCACTGGCTGGCAGCATAGTAAATGCCACATGATAAAATACTTGATGCTCCAGGAGCAAATGGTTGAGCTCCGCAACTTCTCCATGTTCGATGCTGCTGCAGTTCAGCTCGGCCGCGAGCTTCAAGGCAGATGGAGGCATCGCTTATCGTAGTGGACACCAAGAATGCGCCGTTCAAACTCGAGACAGCTCGTCGGACTCGTCGGGCGTGAACTTTCAGCTTGGGAACTTGCGAGCTCTCGCTGCTGCCGGACCTTCGCGACTTCGAGCCGGTGAGAGGGTACAGGCCAGGGCTCGCCTGGGGCGCGGCGACCGACGTGAGGAGGACGTGGACGTGCACAAAGCCGGCGCAGGTGCTCGGCAAGAGCCGCAGCCGATGCGCCGCTTAGCCCTCGAACCGAAGCGGAACCGACGCGCGCCGCGAGCCCCAGACTAGGCTCGGGTCCCTTCAAAGTCGACAGTCACCTCAATGCTGGTAGCAGACCATCGAATCTGCAACAAATCAACGCAGGTAGGACAATCGCGACCTGTGCTGTTCGAGTGATGAGTGATAAGTCTCTCAGGGTCGATCGAAGTGCACATTCTGCGAGAATGCGATGCCCGAGGGCACTTCGCAACAGACACAACTCACCTCACCTGCAAAGACTACCCTCAAACCCCTAAAATGTGTGCTGCAGAATTTTGGCTTAGTACGTGGTCACAAGTACCCTCGGCATCTTCGATATTGCCGACGATGCGGGCAAGCAACTCAGACACCTCCAATTCCGGAGCTAGTCTGCTCGACAAAGCTGTTGCAAGTCCCACTGAACTCACTTTGTGCGTGAGATCAGTTGAAAGGCGAAGGCGGCACTCATCGCAGCGCTTTGTTTCCTGGCCTTTTTGAGTACAATGCAAATCACATGCTCGTGTTCTGACATGGAGATCTCAGGCAGCATTGCTTTGGCAACCAACCCGACCCACTATGGCAACCCATCCACTGGCTGCGAGTCCGACGAGGTTGCCGTTCGCGTGAGCGGGCTCTCGGGCGACTTCTGCAGTCCGAAGTGCGACAGCCAGGGCACCTGCCCAAGCGATGTGCCCAAAGGCGACACCGCAAATCCAGAGTGTGCGCTCCGAACCACGACTGGCGACAAGTACTGCGGCCTGATCTGCCAGGCTGACTCGGATTGCGGTGCCATGCCTGCAGCCGTGGGCAATTTCTCTTCACGCATGCTGCTTTGAAAGAAGCTCTGTATGCAATGCAGTTGAAAGCTGAGGTACTGGCTCCTGCCAAAAGATGATGGGCATTGGTCTTTGCACCTACACTGCGTCTGTCGACCAGACAGTTGAGGAGGTGGGACTTTCGAGTTTCGGCCCAACAACTCCAGGGGATCCAGATCTAAGGGTGTCGAAAAATGCCTCGCAGAGCTTGGATGCGGGTGGGATGCGCGCCGCACCGTGCGGCCGCTGCTCTTTTCTGTGCTGCTGCAGGTGTTGAGTCGCTGTTTTTGCTAAGTTTCAATTTCACCTCCTTCCGATTAGCTGTCGCGCCACAGATTTGAGAGCTCTCTGTTCATTTTTCGCTCCACGAGAACGCATGGTGACAGTCTGTGGTTTTGTGCTGAGACCGTGGTTTGTGACTGTGCAGGTGTCTATGGCAACCAACCCCAGCCACTACGGGAACCCAAAGACAGGTTGCCAAATTGATGAGGAAGCCGTCCGTGTTAGTGGCATGTCCGGAGACTTCTGCAGTCCCAAGTGCGACAGCCGTGACGCCTGCCCGAAAGACATGCCTGCGGGGGATTCTGCAGACCCAGAATGCGCTCTGCGAACTGGTTCGGGAGAGAAGTACTGTGCACTCCTGTGCACTTCGGACGCGGACTGCGGATGCTCGATTCCCTTTTTCAGCCCCACTGTTGCCGTCGCTACTCTCACTTTGTGCCGGATATAGGTTGTCTAGTATGCGTTGGCCGTGCCTGCCCACTGGCTGAGGCCAGGGCCTTTGCCAGCACATTCTGGGCACCGGGATATGCACTTACACGTCAAGACATCAGAGCTCGAGCCTGCAGGCGGAGAGCCAAACCTCCCGTCTTGAAGCCCGAGCCCCCGAGCCTCGAATTCCAACTCAGAATCCAAGGCATCGGAAACAAGTCTGGTTTCCGTTTCCGTCGGCTAGGCATTTTCTAAGGCAATCCGTCAAACATGATCCAGCCCTCGCGCGGCGTGCTATTGACAGAATTCGTTTCGATCGTTTATAATTAATATTAAACCTGTCTGTTTTCAGACAGACATGTGTTTGCAGGTGGCAGTGGCCGTTGCCGTGGCAACCAACCCGACCCACTA